AAAGTAGAAGCAGAAAGGATGCAAAAAGACAAGGGATTTTTAATTCCCAATATCAACTCCAATCTTTTTTTTTTTTTTTTTTAATCCTCATCCGAGGACATTTTTCCATTTTTTGTACAGATAGTGTGGGAGGGAAAGAGAGGGAGAGAGAGAGAGGGAAACATCGACGTGAAAGGGACACATCGAGTGGCTGCCACCCGCACGACCAACCAGGGCCGGGGACAAACCGCAACCGAGGTACATGCCCTTAGCGGGAACCGAACCCGGGTCTCTCTGGACCGCAGGCGGACGCTCTAACCGCTGAGCCAAACCGGCCAGGGCTCAACTCCAATCTTATATTGATGCTGGAATCCAGCTAAGATTGGAATTGCTATATGCCACAATATAATTTTAATCTACCATCCTATGTACACAGAAAAGAAGTTTAAGTGGGCAAGAGAGAAATCTTGGTTTAAATTACCAATAGCTGCTTACTGACCAAAAGTTGAGAGCCACTGGGGCTGGCAGCCATGCTCCAAATGGGTCCTCCAAAGGCATCCATAGAATACTTGATGTTTAATGCCTGTAAATCATACTCAATAATTTCTCCGTTGAGTCCAGCACTAAAGAGTCGCTGTCCTTTTGCCCAACACAGAGCTTCTGTAGCTCGAGACTCATGACCTGCGAAAAACTACAGAAACACCATAACTTCTCAACCCATCATGAATTCATCAGCTATCAGCACTGAGTGGTTACAGGCAATATGGTGAAAAATAAAATACTTCCCTAGCCCTGGATGGGTAGCTCAGTTGGTTAGAGCACTGTCCTGACACATCACGGTTGCAGGATCGATCCCTTGTCAGGGCACATATAAGAAGCAACCAATGAATACATAAACAAGTGGAACAACAAAGCAATGTTTCTCTCTCTCCTCTTTCCTCTTTCTCTAAAAATCAATCAGTAATTAAAATAAAATAACCCTTTGCCAGTGTTGCTCAGTGGTTAGAACATGGGACCATGCAGCGAAGGGTCTCAGGTTCAACTCCCAGTCAAGGGCAAGTATCTGGGTTGCAGGTTCAATCCCCAGCCCTGGTGGGGACTCACGCAGGAGGCAAACAATCACTGTGTCTCTCTCACATCAATGTTTCTCTCTCCCCTACCCCCACTCTCTCTTATTTAAAAGAAAAAAAAAAAAAAACAGAACAAAAAATCAATGGAAAAAATATCCTTGGGTGAGGATTAACAAAATAAAATACCTCCCTAGAAATAATGCGTATGGGAATTTGTGCTATCAGAAGATCATGTCTACTGACATTTTCATTTTTTCCCAGGTTCATATTTTAGTTATCTCTACAGTTGATTTTATTTCTTTTACTAGACCTTGTTCAGCAAAACCTTTTCAGTAGAATAAAGTTTGTATTCAATTGTATTTGATGTATTCAACCTTTAAAAAATTCTATGTAACTGTCTTGACTGGTTGATAGTTTCAAAGGCATATACATATGTTAAATACATACTGCTTTATTGTGTCAATTGTACCTGTTAAAAAGCTGTTTAAAACATAAAAGCAAGCCCTGGCCAATGTGGCTCACTTGGTTGAACGTTGTTCTGTGCACCAAAAGACTGCTGGTTTGATTCCCAGTCAGGGCATGTGCATAGGGTGTGGGCTCGATCCTTGGTAGGGGATTTGCAGGAGGCAGCCTTATCATACAGACGTTTCTTGCTCGCTCGCATGCGCACTCTCTCTCTCCCCCTTCCTCTCTAAATATCAATAAAAAATCTTCAATAAATAAAAGATAAACTAATGCAGCTCACTCCAGCTTTTCATTCAAGTCTCAGATGTCTAAATGGTTTCTTAGCACTCATAAGGTTTCATATGTATCAAGGCATTTTATTATTTTATTTGCTTGACACAAGAGAGACTGGGTAAGTATAATTTTTTCCAATTTGAACTTGAAAAGGCTAAAGTACTTGTGAGCACTTTGCCCAAAGTGTCAAAGTCAATGACACGAAGAGAACGTTGGTCTCCCTAACCCTAGTCCCTATTCTTTTCACTCTAAGAGATACAATTTTTTCTTCTTCTGAGAGTGATTAACAGAGCTAAATAATCTTAAATCATATGGAATAGGGAGAAAGCAGGAGACTAGACTGAATTAACTGTTGAAAAACAGACGAGAGAATAAGAGACACTAAGGAAGAAATGGCTGACCTAATTCATTCAACAAATATTAACTCAGCAGTGGTTTTATGTTAGACACTTGCTAAATGCATGGAATATAGTCATGAACATCACTGACATGGTCCCTGTTTTAATAAAATTTGAAGTTCAGTGGGAAAAACATGAAACAAATATACAAATATTATTATATAATAATTACAGTTTTCATAAATGACAAGAAAAACACAGGCTGTAACAAGCATGTACCATAGCATGTTTTTTCACGCTACAGACCCACTTGTGATGACCAGTAATTATTTAATTCTTGTTAGTTCTTCAGGGGTCAGCTCAAGTCATTCTTTTCCAAAATTCCCAAACCTCATCAGAGTAAGGATCGCTCTAAGATTCTATACCTGTACTTAGCTTTACATAAAATTTAATTGGACTTTGAACTCCTTGAGGGTTAGGGCCTCTAACATTTGTTTTAATACCTAACACTTGCCACTCATTCATTTAGAAACGTTAACAGAATGCCTACATTCCAAGTACTAGGCTGCTGGGCACAACATTCATTCATTTACCCATCTATCCATTTACACCATGACGTCCAGGGCATGTTAAGACACTCAATAAATGTGAATTGAATTAGATGTTGCACCTGAAATCAATGCCTTTGAAAAAAAATGCTGCTGTCACAGCCCTCTACATACATCCAAATGCTATTTTACCTAATTTTAAATCTCCTTTACTCCCAAATATAGTCATGTAAGTCTACATTCTCTCAGACAGACCAACTTAGGAATCCACCGCCCTGCTATTACATCACCAAAGTTTCTGATATTAAAATGTTTCATTAACTTTTCTGAAGTTGTTCCTGATACCACCAGCAGGAAATGCCACCTTACCAAAGCTGCAATGGTGTGGAGACTGATATAAAACAATTATCTCGACAATCTTCCTTCTTGTGCACAGAAGAACCAGCAAACCTCAGTTTCCAAGTGACACTGAGCTGCCACAATTCCTAGGTAGGATCTTTCTAACCAACATAACATAAAAACTCTGAGCCTCTCTCATCCATCAGACAAGAAATTGCATGCTACAGAAGTTACGTAGTTCAAAACAATTCCAGAGAGGGTACAGAGAGTCACTTTCTTTTGCTCTCTTTGACTATAAAAGATATACAAGTTTTTGTAGAACTGAACTTAAGAAGAAAATTAGTATCAGAACACCAAGCCAGGCTCCCAAATGACTTACTTTCTCCTGAAAGTAGTTTGCTGACAAGTTATATATTTCCACAGTGCCATCTGTTCTTGAAACAGCCAATCTGTTTGACTGGTTATTGTAAGCCACACAGCGGATCCCTGATGGAACATAATTAAAGAAACGAACTCGATGGACGTTAAATTCACCCATTCCTAGGGGAGGAAAAAAAGAGTAATTTTTGTTAAACATTAACTGCAGTATTGTTCCTTATTACCACTGCTCTAGATAGAAGACTACAACTACATCTTACTCAAGTTCATATCTAAGTATCTAATTAATGATATTTTCATGCACCACACAAGAATGTATATCTCCAGAAGCTCAAGATTCTTCTGCATAAAAAATTAAAAGGTCCACAAACAGAGCAGCACAAGACTTCTAACAATCCTGACAACCGCCTGAAGGAAATAGTATGAGAAAGAGGGATGAGGATCTAAAATTTTATCTTAGAGCAAAAGACTGAATATAATCTCATTCTGTAATGGGAGAGGGCACTGAACCGAGATACATGGAGCTGACCAGTTGTATTCCAGCAGAACTAAGGCCCTTCTTTTCATTTGGGATGTGAGGTTTTTCAGAGAGTGAAGACACTTGCTAAATGCTGGGTATATAGGGTAAACACCAGACCACTCTAAAGATGCAAGAGATGCTGATGACCTAAATCAGTCCCCCAAAGTCAGGTCTGCAGAACTCCTGCATCAAAATTATCTTGGGAAAAAATGGTTTTAAAAATGCACCATTCCAGCAGGTGTGGCTCAGTGGTTTAGCATGGACCCATGCACCAAGAGGTCGCCAGTTCGATCCCAGGTCAGGATACATGCCCAGGTGTGGGCCAAATATCCAATGGGGAGCATGCAGGAGGCAGCCAATTGATGTTCTCTCTCATTGATGTCTTTATCTCTCACCCTGTCTCTAAAATCAACAAAGGGAAAAAAATGAAAAAAGTAAAAAATACAAATGTACGATTCCAGGTCCATAGCTCCATAATTTCAATTTCCAGAGGTGGGGGGCAGACACTAGGTATCTGCATTTTAGCAAGCACTTTACCCTAACTCTACTGCATGGTAAGGTTGCAAATCACAGACTCAAACTAAGGTAGTGAAGGTGGGGTTGATGGGGCAGGCAGAACCGAGAATTCCTCAAAAAGAAAGCGACAGGATTGGTCTGGCATCTGTCAACTACCCCTCCCATCCCACCTCAGCGGCCAACATACACATTCGGCAAGGGTAGGGGCCGGGTCTGGTTCACCCCCTACCCGTCTCCCTTAAAGGTTAGTAACCCGAGAGCAGAAAAGGTGTGCGCTGGGCCCGGCCCGGCTATGAGAGAGTCTGAAGCGCGCGCGAGGTCTCCACCGCTCCTTGCATCTCCGGGAACTTACGGAGTAGCCCCCACCCGCGCTCGACACAAGAGAACCGGCGAACTCCACCGGGATTCGACCTATAGCAGGCCGCAACCCTTTGAACTGCCCTCTCTTACAGCTGCTTCCCACACCCCTTCCCCAACTCACCCGCAGAGGGGTACTCGCTTCTCTCCGCCCCGGCCCCACGTGCGCGCGCTCCCGTGCTCTGACCCGGAAGTGCTCCCGGCGCAAGGCCGGAAGTGCGCAGGCAGTGCTCGCGGCGGCGGCGACGGCGGCGGGAGGTTCGGTTGTCGCCCGTTGGCCGCGCGGCGCCGCGCTCGGCGGCCGCCATTGCAGGTCAGGCCGCGGGTGGGGGATGCGGGAGGCCGCGGGGAGCGAGGGCCGAGTCGGGGATGGGGGCGAGGGAGGGTACGAGGGAACTGGAAGCTAGGAAGCTGAGGCCGGGCGGGGCGCGCGGCTCCGAGAGAAGAATGGCGAGCTGAGGGGCGGGGAGGGCGGGCGGGGGAGGGGAAATCGGGAAGGGGGAAGGGAACGGGGTGGGCCACGCAGAAGAGGCGGCGAAACAGGGGGGTCTTCGGGGTAGGAAGGCCGGGAATTGTGGGGGAAGGGAGCGGTATGGAGAACGAAGGCGGAGGGAAGGAAGGGAGCGAGCGGGCGGAGCGGAGAAGGGCGGAAAGGGTGGAAAGCGCGGGCGGAGGACGGAGAAGGGGGCGCCGCGGGCCGGATCCTTGAGGTATGTGCGGGAAAGGCTTCTTCCCCGGTGGGAGGGAGGCCAGCACCGGAGGCTTGCGGGAGCGAGGTAGAACTGGAGCCGAAGAAGTAGCGGGAATATCATAAAGGGGGTTTCCGGGTGAGGGGTGTAGTACTGAGGTTTGTTGGAGGGGACATTTTAAATCGGGGTGTTGGGGGTAGGCTGCTGGGAGAGGTGATTTTGTAGGGTGGTTGGAGAGAAGAGACAGTCTGGCAAGGGATCCACGTTCTTTTGTGGGCGGAGGGAGAGACTAGAGAAGAGTGGAGTGGGGTCCTACAGGAACGAACGAAGTATTTCGGAATTTAGGGGGAACAGGGAGCGATTTGCAGAATGAGGGTGGTAGAAGGAGAACGTTTAAGAGCAATCTTTGGAGGAGGGTGAACGGTTTGGAAGATCACGCTGGGGGCGGGGTGTGGAGTAAGTATAAAGAATCATTTCCTTGGGGGGTAGGAGAAAGGGTTAAACAGCTTGGTAAGAGGTCCCTCTCCTGGTTAGAAAGTCGGGGTAATCTGGAGGGGTTTGGTGAAGGGAGGGGAACCTGATTGAGAAGTCCCAGAAAGTGGGCGGGATTAGAAATAGGAAGTGTTTTGGGCCCAAACAGAAGGGATGGGGAGAGGGTGAAGAAATGGGGGCTGGTGGGAGGAGAGGCCACGATAAAGGGAGATCCCAAGCAGGGCTAGAAAGGAAGGGGCTTTGGGGAGGGTTGAGATGGGGCTGCAGAGTAGCAGAAGATGGAGAAAACGAGTGATTCAGATCGACTGAAACCATCTTTTCCACTCGTTATCTACAATACCAGTAATTGATTCCCTCCATCATGGGAATCGTAAAATGTGATGGGAAAATACCACGTGTATGCATAGTATCCACACACGTTTTTGAACACACTCTTCACTAATGAAAAGTTTGGAAGCATTCAGTTTCATTTACCCTCCATAGCCCCTTTTTGGAAGGGAGCAAGCTTCTCATTTAGAAATGGGATTTTCGCACTTGATGATATAAGGCTTTCCACAGACACCATCCCCTTCAGTCACAAGACCACAATAACACTGCTAATAAAAATAATCTGTATTCATTTGTATATCAAACTTCCTGAATTGTTCTTGGTGGAAAGACACACAGAAAAATAGTCATTGTATTTAGAGGAAGAAAACCTTCCAGAACTTAATCTCTGAAGCAGTTTGATGAACTCTGACTACTACCTTTGAATTGTTCTCCTATTACATGAATTTGATTTTATTCTGATGACCTGCTGCTTCTATAGAATGTTTACTTCACTATAAACGTTAAAATAGTAATTATACAGTGTAATATTAAGACATTCTATACTAAGAAAAAGCCATGTTTCTCCAGGAAATCAATAGCTTGATCCTAAAAGCTTACCATGTCTTAGGCACTTTGCTGAGGATTTTACATGTAGCGCCTCATTTAATTTTCACAACAACTCTTTGACATAGGTTCTTTTTTTATGCCTAATTTATTGGTGGGGAACTGAAACATGAGGTTAAATTATTCACATAGGATAAGTGGTATAACCATAGAATCCAGGTCTGACCACTTTTCTTCCTGTATCCCTAAACACAAAGACTAGTCCCCAAGACCAAATAAGAGCTCAATAAATGCTATTGGTCTAGCAAAAGTTAAAGCCTTTATTCCTCTTCTTCAAAAGCTTAAAATACAAGAATTTAAAGGTCCTAATGAAAACTATAAAACGTTATTTAGCTCTAGAAGAGTTGAATTATTTGTAGTCAAGTTAAACCATTGAATCAAGGCCCCTTTCAGTAAGAGCTGTATGTTGTTTAGTTGGATACATTCTGTACTTTATTCTGCCACATTTTATTTTAGGGGCAGTTATGAAGATTACTGCGCACACTGTTCTCTATAAGACAATAATCTTTTAACAATTCAGAAGATAATTAAATTTTGTCAAATTAAGATGAATCAGTGTCAAAGAATGTCCTGTGTAATCAATTAGATACGATAATAAGCAGGCTTATTGTTCTTTATTAACTGCCTGCCCCACAGATGTAATAGGTATTTTGGTGGCAAGTTGTAAAATCAGCTTAGGTTTCTTGCTTGCCATTTTGTAAGTGATGCTGTAAGAAAGGCTAGTATTGTAAAGCAATCAGAGTTCTCTACACATACTGTAGACCTATCTACTTTGCCTCAGGGCATCTGTTACTAGAAGATAAATAATAGGATTCAAGTGATAGGATATTTTAAGGTGCTGAAGTTGGATTTTTAAATTTGACAATACAGATACTATAGGAGAGAGGGCTGTGAGAGGGACTGCAAGAGAGACTACATTGTGGATTGAGAGTTCACGTCCCAGCTCTACCACTGTGACTAGTTACTTGACTTGTAGCTTCTTTAAGCCTGTTTTCCTCATCTGTAAAATGGGAGTGATAACACAGTGCCTACATCATAGGATTGTTTTTTTTTTAATCCTCACCCAAAGATATTTTTACATTAATCTTCAGATAGAGCTAGAGGGAGAGAAAAAATCAGTGTGAGAGAGACACATCGATTGGTTGCCACCCACACAACCCCAATGGGGCCAGGGATGAACCGCAACCGAAGTACATGCCCTTGGCCGGAATTAAACCCAGGACTCTTTGGTTCACGGGCGATGCTCTTATACTGCTGAGCCATACCAACCAGGGCCATCATAGGATTGTTTTCATTTCAGAACCGAAAGAATCCAGATTAAGTGTCCTGAAAAGTTTAGCTATGTGAGAAATGAAGCTTTTTCTATTGTAAAGATAACACTCTACCTAGACTTTTCTCTTAGAAATTGTGGTGGCACTTTGATTTTTCAGGGTTTTTTTTTTTTTTTTAATCCTCACCCTAGGACACTTTTTCCATTTTTTGTTCGGATAGAGTGGGAGGGAGAGAGGGAGAGAGAGAGAGAGAGCGCGAAACATCGATGTGAAAGGTACCCATCGAGTGGTTGCCACCTGCACGACCCAACCAGGGCCAGGGACAAACTGCAACTGAGGTACATGCCCTTAGCGGGAACCGAACCCGGGCCTCTTTGGACCGCAGGTCGACGCTCTAACCACTGAGCAAACCAGCCAGGGCTGATTTTTCAGGTTTTTAAATAATTTTAATGGTAATGACTTCAAAATAGAGATAGAAGCCATATGAGAAGGTGTACTCACCCAGATTGTTCCAATTCCAGTCAAACCTTTCTGGTTTTTATTTCAAATTGTTATACTTCAAGAAACTATGAAAGAATTTTAAAAGTGCTTTTGGTGGTTCTTTTGATTAGGGCCTCCTTATTTGTCCAACAACCTGTGCTTTCCTGAATTAATGTATTACCTGTTTTAAGTGGTCCCACAACCAGTGCTGCTTCCAAAGGGCTGGCTTATTTGAGGATGCCTTCTTTATTCCCTGTTGCCCTTCTGATCAGCTGTTGGGTGTATGCAGTGCCTGCCTGATGCCTTGATACCTTTTCATTCTCACTGACACTTGATTTGCTCCTTTGGGAGGACAGAATTGGGTAATCACAATGAGTATAGGTAAAGTCAGATGGCCTAGGTTCTTAGGCTGGCTCTACCACATACTAGCTACCACAAACAAAACATATGTGTTTGTGCCACATACAACCAAGTGTATCTCTCAGTAGCTTTACTGCAAAATAAGGATAAGTACCTATCTCATAGAGTAGTTGCAATGATTGAGACCACCTGTATATACACAGTATCTAATTCATTGTAAAAGTTCAATAAATATTAGCTGTCATTTATATTATAAGTCCAGTGTTTTTACCAACCTCATGTTCCCAAAGTATGTTTGGTGCTCAAGAGTAGAGATTCTGCTGTCCTTTAAGTCTCTTTGCTGGTAATATACTTTTCCCTGGAGATCCAAAATGAAGATGAACAGATCAGTAAAGAAACCTGTTTTATTTGCTAAGCTTGAGCACAACTATAATACCTGTTAACTTGCTGTACTACATTTGGTAAACACTGGACTGATAACCTTCCACTAAGCTCCATCTATTCATTGGAAAGACTTATACAGAAGCTGTAGTTAGACCCCTATACCCTCAATCCTCCATGATTCTGTCCTTCCCAGAAAGATAAGTACAAGTGAAGCCAGTTTCAGGCAAAAATAACCATTTTAACGCATTCTCTTGGAATATCATGAGCTTGCCACCAGGTGGTGCTGTTGTATAAAGTGAAAGTTGATAAAAGTGCCAGTATTTTAGTATGTAAGTGAAAGAGGATCAAATCACTTGACCAGAGTCATGTCAGAAATCAACTTAACAGTGACTAAAGTTGTCTGAAGGACTTTTCAGTTCTCATGTCTTTTAGTTAAAGGAGGTCTTTTGAATCTTGAAATATCAGATAACCAAAGTGGTAGGTACGAAGTTTATATCATCACCAAGGGAAAAAGTAAAACCTAAAAGAACTAGTTCTTTAAAGTATCTTTGAGAAAGATAAGGTATTAGCATAGTAGTCAAGAGTGTGGGCCCTGGCTGGTTGGCTCAGCGGTTGAAGCGTCGACCTGTGGACCAGAGTCCCAGGTTTGGTTTCCGCTAGGGGCATGTACCAATAAGTAAATAAATGAATGAATGAATAGATTGTGGGCTGTGCAGTATATGTGTTGGGCTCAGATTCTGGTTCTTTGACTAATAGCTATGTGACCTTGAACCCAATCGTGCTGTTACTGTTCATTCTGTAGTTGACCCTTGGTGATCTTAAGCAATCTTATATGTACATCAGTTTTTTAAAAGTTTACACCTTATAGAATTGTTAGAGGAATGAAATAAAATGTATCTAAAGCGCTAAGTGCTTAGTACACAGTAAGTGGTAAATATTAGCTATCGTTATTATTATCCTAAATCTTTATTTTCCTCTACAGCTTATTTTCAGTTACTTTTTAAAGACAGAAGGCTCATGGTGCAAATTATTATTTCCAGGTGAGTACATTTTGAGACTTCTGTATTTAGCTTGAATGCTTAGGGCTATATAGATTTGATACTTTTTTGGAAGAATCAGGGTCCTCAGGTGCACCTTGTACAGATCCTTGCATTTCAATCTCTAGTTCAGTGCATAGCACTGCCCAGTTTCCCAAGAACTTGTGCTCAACAAAGAGTTCTTTTGGGCCTTGAATGGTGGTGTAGGACTCTAATCATCCTTCACCCCCTCAAAAATATTGTAACCACCAGCCCTTTGCTTGCAGTGCTGGGGCTGGAGGCCTGGCAGAATGGGTGCTGATGGAGCTACAGGGGGAGATCGAGGCTCGCTACAGCACTGGATTAGCTGGAAACCTCCTGGGAGACCTACATTACACCACTGAGGTGAGGGGCTTTTCTTTCCCTGCCTAATGCCTCAGGAAAGCAAGCTACACCAAGGTGGTGCTCCCAGGACCCAGAGTGAGGACTGCCCTCAGGTTTGTTAATCAAGGTCTAGCTAATCTGCTAAGCTATCTGCTCGTTATTCCCCCACCTCTGTAGTTGCAGGGAAATTTAGTTTTGGGGAACCTTGAAAGGTCGCAGTTCTAAAAGTGAAAATTCTTTTACCTTGGCCAAAAAGGGCATGAGGGTGGGTTGTCCACTGTGGCTGCTCAGCAGTGGAAGAGCCGACCAGCCAGTGTAGGTGCCAGTATTGCTTGCCAAGAGTATCTTTAGAAAGCACTTGAGTGTTATGATCTTGCCCTGAACCTCAGGCATCTTGTTCTTGTTCTGCCAAAGGGAATCCCTGTGCTGATCGTGGGGCATCATATCCTGTATGGGAAAATCATCCACCTGGAGAAACCTTTTGCGGTCCTTGTCAAACACACTTCTGGGGAGCAGGACTGTGATAACCGTGGCTGTGAGACTGGCACCCGGTACTTGGTGACAGCACTCATCAAAAACAAGATTCTTTTCAAAACTCGCCCCAAGCCCATTATCACCAACGTACCCAAGAAAGTATGAAAGAACCCCGGATTTTCCCTAGAGAGCGGCCAACTCCTTGGACTCGTGTTCCACTGCCACCTCGAGGACGGCTTGATGGTTCCCTGGGACCACAGGGGGGTCAGGGTCCTGTTCTAAACACAGGCCACCCACTGGGCATGATCTCGGATTCCTTCCTTATGCCAACTGGTTCTCTTGGTGGAAATCTGGCCCCATTTCCAAGGAACCCTTCTCCTTTTCCAACTTCATCAAGCTCATTGGCTTCAAATCCAGCACCTTTCCCTGCTGGTGCTCGTGACCCAAGCATGGCTTCTTTTCCAAGGGGAATGAATCCTACTGGCACAGGTGCAGTTTCTTTCTCAAGGCCAGGTGGCCTGTTGGGCCCAGGGCCAGGGCCAGGGGCAGCTATGAACCCTAGAGCAGGGGCTCTTCCAGGCCCAGGGCCTCTGTCTAACCCAAGGTTAGGGGGTCTCCCAGGGCCAGGTCCTATGCCCAACTCAAGGGCAGGTGGTCTCCTGGGAACAGGTCCTGACTCCAGAAGTGGTGGCCCCATGGGTCCTGGATCTGGACCCAACCTGAGAACGGGTGTCCTGTTGACTTCTGGGAATGGTCCTCCAAATACAAGGCCTGTTGGCCTGGGCCCTGGACCAAGTCCCAATTTGAGATCAGGCTTTGTAGGTACAAACCCTGCCCCAAGGTCAAGTATGTTTCCAGGTTCCAGCCTTGGGCCCAACCCAAGGGCAAGTGGCATGGGCCCAGGCCTTGGTCCCAACCCAAGGGCCGGTGGCCTGGGCCCAGGCCCTAATCTGGACACGAGAGCAGGTGGCCTCTTGGGTACAGGATCTGGTCTTAACTTAAGAGTGGCTGGACCTCAAAGCCTAGATCTTGCCCCCATTCTAAGAGCTGCAGGTCTTTTAGGAGCAAATTCAGCTTCTTTCTCACAGGCTTCTGGAAACATGGGCACAAGCCCATCTTCCATGGCAAGAATACCTGGCCCCATAGGCCCAAACTCGGGTCCTGGCTCGCGGGGAATTGGCCTTCCGGGGCCAAATCCATCTCCCATGTCAAGGGCTCCTGGCCCCATAGGCCCTAATTCAGCTCATTTTTCAAGGCCAGCGGGCCCCATGGGGGTAAATGCTAATCCCTTTCCAAGGGGGACAGGTTCAGGGGCACTGAACCCAGCTGCCTTCTCTCAGTCTTCTGGCACATTTGCTTCAAACCCAGCTACCTTCCAGAGGTCTGCTGGCCTCCAGGGTTCAAATCCAGCAATTTTCCCAAGAGCCTCTGGGCCACTAGGTCCCAACCCAGCTAACTTCCCAAGGGCCACTGGCTTACAGGGTCCAAGTCCAGCTACCTTCCCAAGGTCTACTGGCCCATTAGGCCCTGGTCCGGTTACTTTCCCCAGGTCAGCTCATGGGCCTCTGGGCTCTTCTCCAGCAGGCCCTGTGGGTATCAACCCGGCTCCTTTTGCAAGGCCAGCTGGGACCATGGGTTTAAACCCAGCTTCCTTTCCAAGGATGAATGGTCCTATAAGCAAGACTTTGGTCCCATTTCCTAGAGTGGGTAGTCTCCCTGGCACAAACCCAGCTGCTTTCCCCAGACCAGGGGGTCCAGTGTCGGCAATGTACCCAAATGGAATGTTACCCCCTTAAACAGCTTTTTCTCTCCAGGACCACCTTGAGTTCAGGAATTGTGGTTCTGAGCAGAAGCTGTGTTTTAGGTAAAAAGGTAGACATGGAGCTACAGTCTGAAGTACATAGCTGGGGCTCAAGTTCAGATGGGCCATCTTTCAAACTCTGCTTTTTTCTTGATTGAAGGTGAAATGTTATTTGTGGGACATGGACTATGCCATGTGGGAATTATTCTAGCCTTGAAGAGAAAGGATCTCCAGCTTTCCAGAAGCCTGCTGTGCTTTTTTCCCCACAGCTTTCTGCCCCTTGTTTCTTAATAGTTTCTTGAATTGTTCTTGTGGACTTTTCCTCAGGGATACATTGGCCTGCAGGTCCCAATTTATATGTAGTCCCTTGCTCACCACTGGAGAATCAGCTCACTGCTCTAGATATGTTGCATTGGTGAATGGACCATGCTTGGGCATCTTGGACCTGGTCATCCTCTACTGCCATACCTTTCCCTGGGAGCTTGACAGAAACAGGGAGGTGGGCAACCATTTGAGAAAGACCCACCAAATACAATTTCTGCTTGACTGACTGATCCTGCAGTTTCCTTCTCTGGGACTTAGAGGAGGCCAGAATCAAGGCTCCACTGTTCATCCAACTCCCTCTCCACTGGTACTCCCAATCAAAGAACCTCAAAATTGAAACTGATGTGGGTGGGACATGGGATAGGGAGGGTGGGGGGGGGGGTGAAGGGGAGAAATCACTGTGCTTTGTTTAACCTGACGTGAAAGGATGGTTGGTGTTTTTCCTGCGTTGTATCTTTTCTTACTGTTTCTTTAATAAATGGGATGAGAGGGCTGCTGCTGTCACTCCGTGTTGTTACCTGTTCCACAGGGAAGGACGTTTACTCTGCTTTTCATGGTTTCAGCTTGGCTACAATTCTGCATTATCTTCCAGATAAGATGCTTTCACTCAAGGAAGAAGCAAGCTTGATTTTTAGCCTTAGCTCACTCATCTGCCAGTAATTTCACCAAAGACCCTGCCCACCCTCTACAATAAAAGTTAAGTCATCATAGGTGTGTAGTTATCATTAAGGTAAGCTTACTGTAGTCCCCAGGTCCAGAGGCAGCTGTGACAGCTTACACTGCTTCTGACACTTGAATTACCGCAACTATATTTCTAGCTCAAGTGCCTTTTTTTTTTTTTTTTTTTTTTTTTTTTATCCTCACCCGAGGATATTTTTCCATTTTTTATACAGATAGAGTGGGAGGGAGAGAGAGGAAGGGAGAGAGAGAGAGAGAAACATCGACGTGAAGGGACACATCGAGTGGCTGCCACCCACACGACCAACCAGGGCCGGGGACAAACTGCAACCAAAGTACGTGCCCTTAGCGGGAACCGAACCCGGGTCTCTCCGGACCGCAGGCCGACGCTCTAACCGCTGAGCCAAACCGGCCAGGGCTCAAGTGCCATTTTTGAAACTGGAATAAAGAGCTAGCTTTCATTACATACAAGAAAAGGAAGTAGCTCAGAGATATCATTATGTGAGAATCTTTATTTTGACAATATGTGCAGTATAAAAAATTTGACCTGAAAAGTTAAAAAAAAATAGGTAAAAATAAATATGTTTACAAATTATTGTAGAAATAATACAAAAAAGAGAGTTAAGATTCTCAATGAGTTAAAACCAAAATGTGTCCAATTGTATAAAGGCTCTTCCCTTGCAAGAAACGGGGATAAAGCTGAAGACCCAGTTTGGTTTCACTGCTGAAAAATGTACAAAATAACTTAGAAAAACCAGTCGAGGTCAAATGTTGTGAGCCCACTATTTGTACTTGCCTACTTTTGATATGAGGAAAGCTGATAACCACAGTGCAAGGTAGAGCTGATGGTAGGACAGCCAAGAGTTTTCCAACTGGAAGTTCGTCCTCTATTAACCTTCATGTAAAAGCTGAAGAAAAGCCCTTAGTGAAGTCTGAGCTCTGGAGTTGGCTGACCGGATTTCCTCCATTGCAGTTGTCAAATAGTTTATTTCTTGGCCAGCAAAAACACGGAAGAACCTGGAACAACTGCCTTTAGCAAATGCCTGCTGACTCTTCTAGCCTTGATGGACTGGGCCCAACATCACCCAGCAGTCTTATCAGAAACTTGAGGTCTGTGTGATGCAGCAGTGTTGGCTGCACTCTGGAAACCCTTGAGTTCATAGGAAACTAAGGAAAGCACCAGGGTTTGCCTATCTGTGGCTCAGAGCACACTGTATTCCTTTATAGGAAGCACCTGGGCACACTAGAGGCTTGCCTCACCCCAACTCCTCTCTACTTTAGCTGGACCCTCTGATAATGGACATTTGGGGAGAGTATGCATGAGCAAGCAACCCCTAAATCAGAGGCTTAGTCAAGATGCCAGGTTTCAAAATCAAGAGCTGAGAATAGTCTGGATTGCCAATCTCTAGAAAATGGTCTTCCCTCATTCTCCGCCCTGCCAAACGCAGAGGAAATAAAACAGCCTTAAGAGGCCTGAGAAAGCAAGAATCTTAGGATTTAGGAATCAATTCCATCTCCTAGTTTGGTTTCTGGAAAGAAGCAAATGCAAACTTGGCTCTAAGAATTCCCTGGAGAAGCCACTGAGGAGAATCAGTCTCAAAGATGACCAGCTTGGATTTGAGGGTTCACTTAGGGAACACTGAAAAGCTTTCCATTAGAGATGATTGTCAAGAACTGCAGCCTGAACGTCATGCATGCTACCCAGCTGCCAAGGAGTCTGTCCCAAGTGTTCCCAGATGGGAGCCTATTTGGTCAGAGGCTCCTAGTACATTTTCCCCCACGTGCTGAGGGCAGGCTTACCTATTACAGAGGAGCCTGTGAGAGTCCAGGCTCTGCCTCATTTGCCACCTTGAGTAACTTACCCAATGAGGAGGAGGGCAAAGAGGTTACTACATTACCTTGAAAGCAAAGTGAGGAGGCTGTCTTAGGACTTGGCTAAATTGGGAGGAATTCGGAAATATACAGGTTGAAATACCAAGCCCTTACTTCCATTCGTAGTATGTTGGGGTTTAATCACCCTGGTAGATGACCAAAACATTTTATCTACTCAGCAGAGATCACAGACAAGCTCATCTAGATGTCTGGGCACTGTCCAGGTAGGCTATATATAGGCCTCCATATAGCCCATGGCCTCTAGCACCACCACTAATCTTTGTACCTCCTGGCATACTTTCCTTTTTAACATTCACATCTATGTACACTTAAAAGCAGTTCAATGCTAACTCCCTGCTAGTTTGGCTCATCGTTGGGATGTAGAGATGTGGAATGGGGTACATCACATAATAAAGTACCATTCCTGTACCCTGTTTCCTGATGCCCAGAGATCAGGCTTCTGGGCCTTGTATCTCAGGCACAATCTTATTGCATTGATAACTAGATTGAGGGGGGAGACATTCCTAGCTGACCCAGATCTCAGATTCTCCCCTCACCTCTGGTTGTGTCCAAATGGGCTAAAAGAACCCCTTCCCTAAAGCTGGCATTGCTCACTTTACCTGTCAGAAGTTGCCACTGAATGGAACTTACTGTTTTATTTAGCACACTTCTGAATTCCCTGTGGATCCTGGGGCAGGAGTGGAATCTTTCCCAGAGACCACCATGTAGCAGACAGGCAGCCTAAAAACATAAGTCTCTTCTACTCCCCTGAGCTGGAATGAGTGTTGCCTTCTCTAAGCAGAACTGCCCCAGG